AAATGGCTATATCATCTAAGTACGCACAGGCGTACTCTTGGAACCCATCCAGTAGCCGATCTACCATCCTCTGAAAGGTAGCCGGAGCGTTTTTCATCCCGAAAGGCATGACCCGAAATTGATACAGGCCAAACGGGGTGACAAACGCCGACTTGGGGATGGCCTCCTCGGCTAGTGGAATCTGCCAGTATCCCTTACACAGATCAATGGTAGTGAGATACTGGCCTCTTGCCATCCTATCTAGCAGCTCGTCTATACGGGGCATCGGGTAGGCGTCAGACACTGTTTTGTCATTGAGCCTCCGGTAGTCTACACAAAACCGCGTGGTGCCATCCTTCTTGGGTACTAGCACTACCGGTGATGCCCAGGGGCTATATGAATGTTCGATAACCCCTAACTGCAACATTTCCTCAATTTCTTTCCTCATGTGCTCCCTTACTGCTTCAGGGATACGATATGGAGTCTGTCTCATAGGGAGCTGTCCTGGGGTCTCTACTCGGTGGGTAGCTAACAGAGTGTACCCTGGTAAATTGGAGAAGGTAGCACCTTTTGCCGCAATCAACTCCTGTACCTGGGCACGCTCCTGGAGACTTAGCCGCTCCCCCAGCTGCACACCTGTAGCGTTTTCTGCAGAATCTTCCTTTTCTAACATGTCTGGCAAGGGCAGATTCTCATAATCCTCAGTGGCTGGGGCACAGATGGCTGCTACCTCCTCTATTCTCTGGTGATAGGGTTTGAGCATGTTCACATGGAGCATGCGTCGTTTCCCTACCCCAGAGCACGGGCCGATCACATAAGTGGTGTCACATCTCTGTTCTACCACTTGGTATGGGCCCTGCCAGGTGGCCTGTAGCTTGTCTGTGCGGACAGGTTTCAAAATTAGAACTTTCTGTCCCACCTGAAAGCTACGGTCTCTGGCTCCCCTATCGTACCACCGGCGCTGTCGCCGCTGAGCCGCCCGGAGGTTCTCCCGTACGGTTTAGGTTAGAGCCTCCAAGCGGTCCCGGAACTCCAGCACGTATGGCACAATGGGGACTCCATCTGCACTGCTCCCCCCCTCCCAATGTTCTCTAATTAAGTCTAGGGGTCCCCTCACCCTTCTCCCAAACAATAACTCAAACGGAGAGAAGCCGGTAGATTCCTGTGGCACTTCTCGGTACGCAAAAAGCAGATGGGGTAAAAACCTCTCCCAGTCTTTATGGGACTCCCCAAAGGTACCGTTAAAGCGCTCACACAACCCATTGGACTGCGGGTGATAGGCAGAATTTACAATTGGCTTAATGCCACATAACTTCCATAGCTGGTGGGTCACTTCGGCTGTAAATTGGGTCCCCCTATCCGAAATTATCTCTTGGGGAAATCCCATCCTGGAAAATATCTTCATCATAGCTTCGGCTACCGTTTCTGCTTGTATATTGGAAAGGGCTATAGCCTCCGGGTACCGGGTGGCATAATCTACAATGGTCAGAATATACCGCTTGCCGGAAGGGCTAGGCTTGGACAGTGGTCCTACTATATCCACTGCTACTCTGCTAAAGGGTTCTTCAATAATGGGAAGGGGGCACAATTTCGCTTTGTGGCGGTCACCCCTTTTTCCCACTCTCTGACAAATGTCACATGTCTGACAATACTGTCTCACATCTCTAGATATACCTGGCCAGAAAAATGCATGTGTCAATCTGTACCTCGTTCTTGTCATCCCTAAATGCCCAGACAGCGGAATATCGTGGGCAATTCTAAGCAGTTCCTGCCGGTATTTCTGGGGCACTATAAGCTGCTTATTAGTCACATGTACAGACCCCCCTACCACCCGCTCAGCAACACGATATAACAGATTTTTCTCCCATACATACTGTTCTCCCTCTAAACCTGTCTGACCAGCTGTCGCCTTATCCTTATAAATTTGCAACGTGGGATCGTTTTTAACCTCTGCCTCAAAGTCAGTCGGGGTATCCCAGGAAACACGGGTTACACGGGGTACATTGTCTCTTACCTGAGCCTCAGAGTGTGTGGAAGATGAAGCCGTGGTGCGAGCCTGCTGACGGGTGGTCACTGGATATGCCTCATGGCGAGGACTTTGGGGCACAAAAGCGGAAGTCATTTGCCCCAGGTCATTCCCCAAAACAACATCAGCTGGTAACTTGTGCATCAGCCCCACCTCCACCATACCTTCCCCCGCACCCCAATTCAGATGTACCTTGGCAGTTGGTAGCCGGTACATGGCACCCCCTGCTACCCGGACTGCTACCGATCCCCCGGTATGTGCTGATCCTGACACCAAATGCGGGGCAACCAAAGTTAAGGTAGCGCCGGAATCACGTAGCCCCTGTACCTCTTTCCCTTCCAGAGTCACGGTCTGGCAATGTGGTTGTCGGTTGTCAGTAGCATGGATGGACATTACATCGTGCAAAACGCCCAGGGGTTCATCAGCCGACTCAAGCGGCACTCCTGGCAAAGTTGGCTCTGCATGATAATAATGAGCAGCTGCCCGCGGGGCCATATTCTGCCGGAGCTGATTCCAGTTCTTGCGGCTCCGGTTTTGGGTGCACTCCCGGGCCATGTGCCCCCATTGCTTACAGGCATGGCACTGGATGTTGGACCTGCCATTATAACGGGAGTGGGGAGGTTGTCCCACAAGTGCTGGTCTGGATGGTGCTGTCGCTGGGGCAGGAGCAATAACTGGAAACGGTTGCGGGTTGGGTTTTGCATACCCTCGGTTATTATTTTTATGATGCCTCCTAGCATCATAATGTTGGTCGGCCAATCGTGCCGCTTCGGTTAGGGTGTGAGGATTTCGGTCATTCACCCATTCTTGAGCCTCTGGTACCAGGCCATTACAAAACTGCTCCAGTAGCAACATCTGGCGTAACTCTTCCATGGTGGTAGCTCTGCTGGCTTGTATCCAGCCTTGTGAGGCTTGGTCAAGCTTGTGTGCCCACTCCGCATGTGAGTCTTTGTCCCCTTTTTTTTTTTTTTAAATTCTTTATTTTATTTGTGCATAGCGTGAACATTCATGTTTACACTGCCACGATAGCTAGTGCAAGCAGGTATGGAAACATATAGTGACATAGTTATGGCATTGAAAGACATTGCACAGTTTTTATATTTAAGATAGGAAACATGTGAAGGGTTAAACCAACTTGTATGACTAAACAGTATGGTGAAGCTTAAACACATATTGTATGTTGTATATACTAATGAATAATATGCTAGCGCCCTCGGTAATTCGATTGGAGCAATGCTAAATACCAGGCGTGATGTGCACTATACACAAGAGGGGAGGGTGAAACATATGGGATAATGCTTTATCATAACCGGCTGTAATATGGTATTTAACAAGCCATGTTCTAGCTTACAGTGCTGCACAGAATAGCATAGCAAAACCCTCTTGTATCTCATTTACTCAGAGCCTAATGCGTTTTACATGTTAAAGGCGTTAATGACATAGGCTGGAATAAACGGGGAACAACATCAGCATTAATAAAGTTTGGCCTATAATATTAAAACAATATGAGAGTAAGTAGAAGGAGACAGCAGACAACAGATCAGCATAACTTAACAGACTGGGAGTTCGTGTTGCAGCACCGAAAACTTTCTCCAGAGCTCGGGTAAAGATTTTAAGGCTCAGTCTTCAGGGTGGCTCGTAGTCAGCCGACACCCGCTCTGTGGAGCCTCTGGAGTTGCGTGAAAGCCGCTCGGGAACATTATTACACAGTCCAAGGCAATGTGGGACTTTGAGAAGAAGTCTGGTGGACATAGCGGTGCTGGGCTATGGGAGTGAGAGTCGTTGGGTTTCTAAACCGGTGAGTGCGACGGCGCTCGGTTGCGCATGACAGCTAGTGAGTGAGTTACCAGCCGAGGTATAAAGACAAAAGAGGAGAAAAAACAAAAGCAAAATAAACCTAGACATATGTGGCAGTACAAAATGTTCATTAGTGATGTAATCTATATAGGGCTAGGTGTCCGCGGCCGCAGGCCGGCAAGTCCATGGTGCACATGGTGATTCTGCGCTGCCATGCAAATAAACAGTCAGCCTATGCCCAGGGTCGGAAAGCTGTGGTAGGGCTGTACAAAGATGCCCCCTTGTCTGGGGTCCACTCCAGTTGTGACCCACAATGTGTGCAGTCTCTCAGCTACTCGAGGTGCAGCGTGGACTGTAGCGGGTAAGGTCGCACTGTCTTGTTTACTGCCTGTCAGGTCTGGTGCGGTGCGTGTATTTCTTCTGTGCGTTCCTCTCAGTGTCGGAACACCACCATCAGGTACATGGAGTGACCGACCAGAGTGCTTCTGCATCTTTACTTGCCGGCTCCCGAAGGCTGCCGCCTTGCTTTTTTTGTCGCTTTTCGGGTCTCCGGTTACCTTTTGTCTGTTAGTTTCTCGCAGCCTCTGTCCCGCTGGGTGATTCGGTGCCTGGGGTGACTGTGCCTTCCTCCGTGTGGTTTTGCTTAATTGAGTGTGCTTTCGGGCGTTGGGCCCCATCACTGGGGACAGTAGAGCTTCCAGTTGCTCCCAGAATATTTGGAAGGCCCTGTCTATTCGGCTCTCCCCCTCTGGCTTTTCGCTTAGGAAGCTGAAGGTGCACGCTGCCTCCGCCATTTTAGGAGCTTCTTCCCCCAAGTTTCTCCCTTGCTTTACAATCTTATTCCTGTGAGTCTGTGTCGAGTTGCCCCCGTTATCCAGGGGGGACCGGGATGACCCCCACCGGTCCATAGGGGGGGGGAGTTTGTGCTACTAGCTTACTGTTAGCCGTGTGCGTCTGGCGGGAAAGTGCCTGCCTTTCTCCGCCACCTCCCTCTGTAGGCCCCCGTCTGCCGATGCGGTGCCCGTTTACACCGGACATCGAGTGTGGTGTCCTTGGGTTCGGGTCGGTTTCCCAAGTCCAGTAGGTCCACTTGTAGAAGGGTGAGCGCAGTGCGGCTTGAGTTATTCGACGTTTTTATGCTCGGTGCACAGGAGCTGATGCAGAACACGTCTGCTCTGTTTGCTAGTCAGGCTCCGCCCTTTGTCCCCTTTTTTCAATTCTCGGAACTTGCGCCGGTATGCCTCTGGGGTAATGGCATACCTTTCTAATAGCGCCTGCTTTACCTTGTCATAATTCTTGCTGTCCTCTCTGGGTACAGCCCGGTAGGTGTCTGCTGCACGCCCAGACAGTTTGCCTGCCAACAAAGGTACCCACATAGCTTGCTCTACATCATGCAAGTCACACAATCTTTCAAAATCTTGCAAGAATCCATCTATTTCGTCTTTATCCTCGCAAAAAGTTTTAAATGCATGATGTGGTATTTTTGGCCTTCCCTGGCCCACAGTTGAAACAGCAGCGGTTTCTGCTTGAGGTGAGAAGGCTTGATTCATTTGCGCCATCACGTACTCCTGTGCATCCGCCGAAATTATGGTCATAATTTCTGGAGATACTGGAGCGGGCCAAAATGCCAATCTTGTCCTCATTTCTCGTTCAAATGGGGTCTCCTCCATGTTTGCTGGGGGTGTAGCACTACGAGCTCGGTCTCCTTCCATTAGCTCGGCAATAAGTCTTGCTTTAGGCTTATTGCTGGCTATCTTACCCCTGGCTTCCAACAGCTCCTTTAACGTTTGCCGTTTCAATATGGTGTAGTCCGTCCCCATTCACTTCTGCATCTGTATCAATTGCCTTCTGCTTTCCAGTATGTCAATTCCAATTGTATAAACAGCGTTTTTCCTGCTGTACGGTTGGATCCCGCCGCTTGCCACCAATTGTTGCGGAGCTGCAATTTTATAATCCCAGGATCTCTGCTGGTAGAATGCAATAACCAAGTACAAAGCTGGAAGCAGGCAATATTCCCAAATCCTCCCAAGAACCAGACGAAACACAGTCTGAGAGTCAACTGCCACTTTATTCAAAAAGACTGATATTTAAAGCAGGTCACTCAACTGTCACTTTATTAAAAATAACTGATATTTAAAGCAGGTCACTCAACAGGGGTTTCCAAAGATGGGCAGCAGGGGTTTTGGTTGAGGGGACTGGAGGGAGACTACCGTTTCCAGGTCCTCCTCCCAACAGCCCCTGCTGTAACATACAGTAATGAAAACCACGAGGACATAAACCGTTACCTTTCAACTTCAAAATATACAACTTAGTCAGTTTTAATAGCAATGCTAACGAATGGGGAGGATTCGAACAGACATACACAGTACAGCATAAATTAAACATAGCCGGAGACGCCACACTATACCGGCGCGCAGTACACAACAGAAAATAGGCACAACCATTCTATCTTAGGCAGTCCCAAGTGGCTAGGTTTGCCACAACACATATGTATACCTAGTGCTGCCATGTTACCATGTTCCTTTAAAGAATCATAGCTTAGGTGTATCAGAACACTTAATTTACCAGTGGGAAATGTAACCAGCTCAATCAGAATATGAAACAGCCAAGACAGGAATTCCAATTACAGCAAAACATCCATGTGGCTGAGTGTACAACCAATAACAGATACTATAACCTACTCCAAACACAAACAAAAATGTGTCTGAGAGCATTTCTAACTCATAGTCTCTTTTGCAACAACAACTAAAGGGTTTGGTAAACTATTTAATGCATTCCTGACACATAGGATTATTGATTCCACTTACAGAACTGAACGATATACAAGGAACGACATTCGACACAGACTGCATGTTGGAACGCTTACTATGAATGATGAAGGCATTCATTTCCAATGTGTTACTCTCATATTTTGCTCTTAAAGTGTTAAACATGCCCTCTGCATTGTATGCAATAATAACTGGTACTGTTCTCTGAGTCAGCTTAATATAGTCTATCTCAAGGGAAAATGGACAGTTTCTATTTTTTGACAGTATACTGACTCATACTGGGATACTACTTATTTCATATACAAGCTACATCTGACATTTTACTGTGCTCTTTAGCTGAAGAGGAAGCTAGACCTAACATGCTGAAGAGAAATGTTTTTTTATTTTTTGCACTGAAATATTTCAAAGTACAGGAGTACCAATGTCAAAGTTTCACACTGTACCTATTTTAAGGTTGTCAAAACTGGCATCATATTAAAATGTCCCTCTACCATTACTAGTATGCCTGGTAAGGTGCTGGAGAGATCTTGTTTGAAAACTTAATCAAACAATTATTATTATTATTATTAATAATCAAGCACCACCAGATTCCACAGTGCTGTATAATGGGTGAACTAACAGTAGCCAGACGAGTTGGACGCACAGGAACAGAGGTGTTGAGGGCCCTGCTCAATGAGCTTACATGCTAGAAGGAGTAGGGTATAGTGACACAAAAGGTAAGGGTAGGACAGAAAAGCTGTTTTTGTGATTTTGTGATTTTTATATAATTTCTTTAAAGGAATAGAGACTGGGTGAGAGGCTAATCGAGCAGGAAGAGAGTGCCACAGGGACAGTGCACCACTGGAGAAGTCTTAGAGGTGAGAATCAGAGGTGAGTGTACGATTAGAGGATAGACACAGTTCTTTGACAGAGCAGAACATTAGGGGACCAAGAACAAAACCATGGAATAGGGTTGCGGAGAAGAGGCAGAGACACTGAAAAAGTGCCAGGGGAGAGCAGTATCAGCAACAAAAATGTCAAAACCAGCAGAAAGGTCAAGGAGAATTAGGATAGAATAGTGACTACTTGGTTTTGCAGAGATGAAATCATTGAATACTTTAAGTGGTCGGTGAGCTTATAAAATCATTGAAGCCTTGACATGGCAGGTGAGCTTAAATTCGTATTGCCATTGGTTTAAATGTACATAGGGATTTTGGCCAGAGCGCAGGTAACATTCTCTTTGTTTTTACTATGTATTTTGAGCTGTTAGATACTAAGCCACTTTATTTTTGTGTTTGTATATGATATTTGTATCACACATGTTGCTGCCAGCCACCACATGTTTGTCTTATTAAGAGTTTATAAGTATGTAGGGGCAGCACCCCTTCCTGTCTAAACAGAGAAATTTGCCTTCTAGCTGATACCAGCAAGGTGATTTGCCTAATTAAGAGTTTATAAGTATGTAGGGACAGCACCCCTTCCTGTCTAAACAGAGAAATTTGCCTTCTAGCTGATACCAGCAAGGTGATTTGTATGTGTTATAGCCCTATTTAGGGTAAATAAGTATGTAGAGGTTTATAAAACACCCCTTCATGTCGCGTTAGAGACATTTACCTTTGTCTGATACCAGCAAATCTTATTGTATGTGTAGAATCCCTATAAAGAGTTAAATGTGAAAGTGTTTATAAAATACCCCTTCCTCTCTCATTGGAGATTCTTGGCTGATATCAGCAAATCTAATGGCTAGTGTAGGACTCGCCTTTTGAGGCTAGCCTTGATGTGGCAGATGAGCTTATATTCGAATGGCCGTTGGAATAAAACAAAAGAGCCTCCATTTCGTTTAAATGTACATAGGGATTTTGGCCAGAGCGCAGGTAACATTTTCTTTGTTTTAACATTGAATACTTTAGTTAAAGCCATTTCGATAGAGTGGCGAGTGTGGAATCCAGACTGAAGTGGGTCAAGCAGAGAGTTGGATTCGAGAATGTTGGTCAATCTTGCATACACAACTCTCTCAAGGATCTTGGAGGCATATGCTAGTTACAAGAAAGGGTGGTTGGATGGAGATTTAGGGTCAAAGTTGGGCTTTCTTAGAATCGGGCTTATAGTTGCATGTATGAAGGGTGAAGGAAATATGCCATAGGAGAGGGAGAGATTGAATATTTTAGTGAGAGAAGAAAGGCAGAGAGTGGATGATTTACGAGAAAATAGGATCGAGGGAACAGGTGGTGGAGCAGGATGACCAGAGCAGAGCAGAAACCTATTCTGCTGTAGTGGGTGCAAGAGAGCATAGACCAGTGGAGGGAGTGGGGTTGGAGGAAGTACTGGTAGGAGAAGAGGTGAGCGATCTCTGCACTGATTGAATAAATCTTCTCAGTGAAATGAGTTGAGAAATTTTGTTAAAAGTGTAAAAGAGGCATTTGAGTTTGTGGGAGAGTGTGGTTATGAGGGTTTTACAGTAGTTTTCTTTTGCAGAGGAAAGAGCCAAGCTGTATGGCGCAGAATGAGACTTTCTCCAGCAGTTTTCAGCAGTGCTGGAGCATTTTTGGAGGTACCAAGTCAGCTTAATGTGCCATGGTTGTAACTGAGGGCGCTTGCTAGGTTAAAATGTAGTAGTTGCCATGATATCTAGTTGACAGGAGAGGGTGTAGTTGCAAATGGTGGTTACAGGGCTAGGCTAGGTGAGGTTTGAGATAGGTAAAAGGAGAGTTTAGAGGTTGGTGGAGAGTCACTGTAGGTTAAAGGGACACTATAGTCACCTGAACAACTTTAGCTTAATGAAGCAGTTTTGGTGTATAGACCTTGCCCCTGCTGCCTCACTGCTCAATCCTCTGCCATTTAGGAGTTAAATCCCTTTGTTTATGAACCCTCATCACACCTCCCTGCATGTGACTTCCTGTAAAGAGAGCCCTTTTTAGGCTTTCTTTATTGCAAGTTCTGTTTAATTAAGATTTTCTTATCCCCTGCTATGTTAATAGATTGCTAGACCCTGCAAGAGCCTCCTGTATGTGATTAAAGTTCAATTTAGAGATTGAGATACAACTATTTAAGGTAAATTACATCTGTTTGAAAGTGAAACCATTTTTTCATGCAGGCTCTGTCAATCATAGCCAGGGGAGGTGTGGCTAGGGCTGCATAAACAGAAACAAAGCGATTTAACTCCTAAATGACAGTGAATTGAGCAGTGAAATTGCAGGGGAATGACCTATACACTAAAACTGTTTTATTTAGCTAAAGTAACTGTGACTATAGTGTTCCTTTAAGACAGTGGAGGCTTCTGTGAGCCTGATGAGGGTGAGTACTGAGGGTGGTATAATTTGAGTACAGAGTATGCCAAAGTCAAAGTTCAGCAGATGGTGGTCAGATGGAGGAAATGGAACACTGAAGAGATTAGAGGTGGTACAGAGATTGGTAAAGATAAGATCAAGGATGTTTCCCGCTGTATGAGTTGCTGAGTTAGACCATTGTGTGAGGTTAAAGGATGAGGTTACAGAGAGCAGTCGAGAGGCATCAGGGGAATTAAAGGTTTATGATTGGTATATTATAGTCCCCAATTACGAAAGGAGTGCTAGAGAAGAGGTTATGGCTAGCCATGAAGAAAAGTTTTCAGTGAATAGCCTAGGATGACTTGGATAGGCGGGCAATAAATGAAAGATTTAAATAGGCAGACAGAGTGAATTTCATAGTAAGGTAAACATAAGGCAGGGGAAGGGAAGATTGGTTGAAAGGTAAATTGGAGAAACTGGGATGCCAACACGGCCTCATTTACCAGTGCTGGATATTAGACCATGCATGTAGGGGTCTGGAGGTAAGGGGTTAATATTATCATTGATCTCAATATTTGTGGTTTTAATACACAAATACTTATTTGTGTCGTTTAGAAAACAGTGTTGTAACATTTGCTTTTATTAACATTTTAGAACCATTCAAATATTTTGCCATTGAAGAAAGTCCTATCTGTAACGTTTTCTTACAGCGAAGTGTTGGCTAAAGTGGTCTTGACTTGAGTTAGTGTTGGTAGAGCTCAGTTTCCTTCTTTGTTTGGCTTTAGGACCTGACACATGAAATGGGAAACCTTATACTTTTGGACTCTACTCCAACTTTCCCACCGGTTCACACTTCTTGCATCTGGATTTTCATGTGTTTATTTAGTTATTGGATTGTAACTAATACTATACAATCTGAGGTTACAAAAAGGACACCCAAAACATTGCACACAACAAAATCTGTTAAAATCCCTACTACAATGCATAAAGTAAGATTAGAATTACATATTCCTTTGTAGCACTCAAGATCTTTGTCTCCATGTAAAATCAGCAAACTACACCATTATTGGAATTCTAGGCAATATAATTAACTTAACTTCACCAGCTCATGCAAATTCAAAAACAAAGGCACATTGTAATAATATACACATGCATTATTCCATTGCTAATTATCAAAGCAGCCCTTATGCAGGTTTTATCAACATCTTCTCTGGAAGTGAATAGGGAAATTCCTAAATCCTGAACTGTTTGGGGGTGTATCAGGGCAGTTTGGCAACCTCTGCCTTACAAACGAATTCACACATTTTCATAATCACAAAAATTCTAGCAAATGTACAATTAACAATCATCTATTATCTATTATCTTCAAATGGTAAAGTTATAGATCATAACACAATACATAGAACAAACATTGCTAACAGTCTAACATTTTCTTTATCTTTTTTAATAAATACAAAATATCTATCTATCTATCTAACTGTTTGTCTATAAAAGAAAGTGTCACAATTCTCTGATCGCAAGGAGAACCCATTATTTTCCATTTTCTAATTCCTAAAAGTGTTAGTAACTTAAAATCTTCAGGAATTGACTATAAAATTGACTATAAAAATAAGGCCAAAATGGCCCAAAGTGTAAACATTTTTCAAATTAATTAATCAGCTAGGCTGAGTAGAACATCACCCAGTGCAAAATCAAAGTAGTTTATGCAAGCAAACAGTACAACATAATTTTAAGCCCCAGCCCCAGATTGCAGGCAATTTCAATTATAGGAACAATGGATTGAAATTGTTATGGTGCTTTGAGTTTTATGGATACCAGGTCCTGTATTACTACAAAATAGTATACTCTATAGTGATGTCCCGAACGGTTCGCGCGGACTCCAGTCAGCTGACACATTCCAGCCAATCAGCAGCAGACCCTCCCACCTCCTGGACAGCTCACTAAGAATGCAGCTTCAAAATGGATGCTGTCCAGGAGGTGGGAAGGTCTGGGAGGGAGGGTCTGCTGCTGATTGGCTGGAATGTGTTAGCTGACTGGAGTCCATGGCGAACCATGGCGAACAGTTCGCGAACCGTTCGGTCAACAGTTCGGGACATCACTAATACTCTACATTTAGCAAAGCTTCTCGGTCTAAAGCACGACCTCCAACAACAATATTGGGAAGGTGGAGCTAGGCTTCTGTCTAATGCCATACCAATTCATACAAGCGACTGGGGCTGTGATTGACTGAGAGTGCACAGTTGATGCTCTCAACCATTTAAGGTATAGTGTGAAACAGCATATAGCTCCATTTATGCCATATCATCATTGGAGGCAATATTTCAGGCTACAAGTGACTGACAATCTTCGGAGTAAATTGTTAAGTAAAAATGTTGCATCTGACACCCACAGACTCATGGTACCATAACCACTTTAATGCATTAAAGCATCCATTTCACTGTTTGGGGACTTTGCATAATTTGCAAAGACTGATGTTGACATCACCGTTCGGTGTCTGGTGGCCGGATGTGGGCAAGCAAAGGTGTGTTTAACCGCCATCTTCTTCCAGACCGTCCTCTTCTTCTCCTGGTGCTTTAGCCGCATGAGCAAGAATACAGCATTTAAATCTTTGGAAGGTCTTTCGAGACCACAAGATCCTCCATACACAGAGCCAATTTCATGCAACCATAACTGGTGATGGCTGGAGGATTGGCACTTCCAGGAGTCGGTAGCCATGCCCAATGTGTAAAAGTGTCAGGCGTAGAAAAATATTTCAGAGAAATTCCAACACAGTCAATATGAGTATTTAATAAAGATTTTGAAATGCTCATTTTGTAGGAGGAGGGGGTTAAGAGAGTACCTCTTTAAAGTGGTTACTGTGTGTACTGCATTTGTTTAAAGTTGAAGAATATTATAGGTAAAAAACTAGTCACTGTGACAGCATTATTTTCCTATGCAATCATGTCTATTTCAACAATTATTTAACTACTTTAAAATGTCATGTCAGCCAAAACTTCCCAAATCCTATTTTCTACAACCATGCTTTTAAACAGCCCCTGGCAAACATTTTAGAACTTCCATGTTATGTAATTGTCACATACAAGCTATATATATTGCTTGTCTTACTGTCCTTAGTACATATCAAAATTAGACATATTTATAATGTAACTGTACAGGTTACACAGTAAACACTACTGTATAGTGATCAAATACAATGGGGATTTCATCTTTTCCAAAAGCGTCTTTCTGTGCCGTGATGCAAGGTTAGAAGTAATAAAATAGAGGTCTACTGAACTGACACTTAAAAATTGAATTTTCATTTTTGTCCTATAAATAAATAGTTCTAGCCATCTTCCTTATGTTATCCTCCAAAGTACATAGGACCGTATTTATACATCCACTAGAAAAAAAATAGCTGGAACAGTGATCATCAGCTAATATGTCCTCTGGGTTTTCAGTAACTGCAGTCACAAATATTTAGCTCAATGTGTCTGGGTTTGATGCTCTGCAACATGACTTGTGGGATACAGGAAAAATGTTTTGTGGCTTGGCAAAGGCTTTCCACATCAATCATTTCAAACTCATTCAAAAGCATTAAAAGCCTGTTTTATGATTAGCAATACACATCTGAATATGTTGCAGCGGTTACAGGATTAAGCCAAATTTTAACTGAATCAGTTCACCACTCATTTTGGAATTATATCCAGTCCAAGACGAGCACTTACTATATGTGAAAAGGCTTAGTTGCTTGTTTACATACACTGGGGAATGCTGGGGAATGCCATTGTAATTAACAAGTTGTATTCTTCGATAAGATCGTGCTTATTTAATAAAATGGTAATATTCCACATAGCTACTTCCCAGGTATGCAGCATGTGTACAAAGCATAAACTCATAGATTTCTGTATAAATACCTATATATGTATATAGGTATTTATACAGAAATCAATGAGTTTATGCTTCTGTATATATATATATATATATATATATATCTGTGATATATAAAAATTATAGTAAGCTGCAGTTTGTTACAAATACATTTACAGATGAAAATTAAGGAAAGGGACCTCAGTTAGGAAAAAGGACAAATGAGCCATTTATTACATGTGAGTTTACAAAGGAAGAGGTTTTATTTCAACTGTCAAAAGTAAAGACAAATAAGTCAATGGGACCAGATGGAATACACCCAAAGTTATTCAAAGAGCTTAGTGGTGTACTAGCAAAACCATTAACAGATTTATTTAACCAATCATTGTTAACAGGAGTAGTCCCAGAAGATTGGAAGTTAGCGAAAGTTGTGCCCATTCACAAGAAATGTAGTAGGGAGGAGTCGGTTAACTATAGGCCAGTAAGCCTTACTTCAGTAGTGGGGAAAGTAATGGAAACCATGTTAAAGGTTAGGATTGTTGAACATCTAAAAACACATGGATTTCAAGATCAGAGACAACATGGGTTTACTTCAGGGAGATAATGCCAAACTAATCTCATTGATTTTTTTGATTGGGTAACTAAAATAATAGATCAGGTTGGTGCAGTAGACATTGCTTACCTAGATTTCAGTAAGGCTTTTGACACTGTTGCACATAGGAGGCTTATCAATAAACTGCAATCTTTAAGTTTGGATTCCAATATTGTTGAATGGGTAAGGCAACAGAGGGTTGTAGTCAATGGAGTATATTCGAAGCTTGGGCTTGTCACCAGTGGGGTACCTCAGGGATCTGTACTTGGACCCATTCTCTTTAATATTTTTATTAGTGATATTGCAGAAGGACTTGATGGTAAGGTATGTCTTTTTGCTGATGATACTAAGATATGTAACAGGGTTGATGTTCCAGGAGGGATAAGCCAAATGGCAAATGATTTAGGTAAACTAGAAAAATGGTCAGAATTGTGGAAACTGACATTTAATGTGGATAAGTGCAAGATAATGCATCTTGGACGTAAAAACCCAAGGGCAGAGTACAGAATATTTGATAGAGTCCTAACCTCAACATATGAGGAAAGGGATTTAAGGGTGATTATTTCTGAGGACTTAAAGGTAGGCATACAATGTAATAGAGCAGCAGGAAATTATAGCAGAATGCTTGGTTGTATAGGGAGAGGTATTAGCAGTAGAAAGAGCGAAGTGCTCGTGCCATTGTACAGAACACTGGTGAGACCTCACTTGGAGTATTGTATGCAGTACTGGAGACCGTATCTTCAGAAGGATATTGATACTTTAGCGAGAGTTCAGAGAAGGGCTACTAAACTGGTTCATGGATTGCAGGATAAAACTTACCTGGAAAGGTTAAATAATATTAACATGTATAGCTTGGAGGAAAGACGAGACAGGAGGGATATGATAGAAACATTTAAATACATAAAGGGAATCAACACAATAAAGGAGGAGACCATATTTAAAAGAAGAAAAACTACCACAACAAGAGGACAGTCTTAAATTAGAGGGTTTGGAAGGTTTAAAAATAATATCAGGAAGTATTACTTTACTGAGAGGGTAGTGTCAGGATTACTGTTTGATCCAGCACGTAGAACTGTATAGCACAGATGACAAATAAGTAACGTATTACCGGTCCTTAGAATGGCCGGATTTAACTTACATAGAATAGTCAAAAATACTAGCCGAGGTCAGGGAACACAGAAAGGGACGCAGCGATGAGGAAAGCCAAGAGTCAGGATACCAGAATATAGAGAAGTCAATAAACAAAGCCAAAGTCAAAAACCAGGTAGAAAACTATAAACAGGAACGCGCTCTCGGACAACCACAAGGGAAACCAGACATAGAATAGAAAACCAGAAAAACCAAGAAAAACTAAACAAGAAATGTAAAAAGAGTACTGGATACCAGAAGCCAAAGCCAGACATCTCCACAGAACATGGCATGATGTGACAGGTAGTGGATGCATGGAATAGCCTTCCAGCTGAAGGCTAGAGGTTAACACAGTTAAGGAGTTTAAGCATGCGTGGGATATGCATAAGGCTATCCTAACTATAAGATAAGGCCAGGGACTAATGAAAGTATTTAGAAAATTGGGCAGACTCGATGGGCCGAATGGTTCTTATCTGCCTTCACATTCTATGTTTCTATGTTAATGATGCTCAGACAGCCTGTAGACTCAGTAATGAAAAAGTATTTCATTGACACTTACTTTGTGTACAGGACCGGTTTAACATAGGGGCTGATGGAGCTGCAGCTCCAGGTCTATGCCCATGGAATAGGCCCATTGACTAAAAAAAGTGTACTACTCTTCACATTCTCTTGCTTATACGGAAACATTGGAGGGATGTAGGGAAACAAAATGTGTATGGACTGGCTGACAATGAAATTAGTCTTGCAGCTTCAGTCTCTCTAACACAGTGACATGTTCCCTTCCTTCTACACTCACTACATTCACCTTTTCTCAGTCCAAGACTGTACACCAGGAGCTTCTGCCTGCTAGTAAGAAGGTGAGCTTGAAAGATGAAAGCGAGAGATTACCACCACCAGATACATGCCGCTTGGGAGGTATAACTAGTTTATTTTTTTCTGTCGATAAGATTCTGTAATTAGGCCCATCATAATTGTCAGCACCAGGCCCAATGGGCTCTTAATCTGGCACTGTATGTATATGGGTATATAGGTTCCTGGTGCAATTGTACAAGTACACATACTCGAAGTGTATCTGTTTCTGAGTACAACTACATATAACTATATCACTCTCTATTTTTAGTTCTAAATATGTCTTAAATGCAAAACGTGTTTGTTCATCATTAAAAAGATACAATATGCATTCCAGGAGCTGTGGGCTTTAATTGCCATCATTATGGGCCTTGGTGCACATCTGGAATGCAGGCATCCCCTAGCCTGATAACCTTAAGCCACCTAGACCTAACAAAAACACCCCCTACCCCTAACTCCATCTGCACCCACGTGTGGATTACACTGCTTTACCCTGTCTGTATTTTTAGTTGTCTTTAGTTTTTTTTTTTTTTTTTGGAGGAGGTATGTAATGATACTGCAGATTTAGTAAAGAAGACTCATTTTTGTTTAGATTTTTCTTTCTGTTGTAAAATTTCCATGAATACAACAATAGTATGCAAGGTTTAATAGAGCTGGGCAGAGTTCCCATGAGGACAACTGAGAATGTTTTTCACAACACTATTAATTAAATAATATATTAAATTACACAAATTGCTGCACTGAACAAAAGGACACTAAACAGATGACATACTCTCTGCATTGGAATGTTCCCATCTTAATATCATCTGATGTCACATGGGATGCATTGACAATCCTTTTTCTTAACGTTTAACATTTTTGGCCCTCCTTGACTTTAACACTATAATACAACATCAATTTTCCAAATTACAATTTTATCACCCGTCTAATTATATTTAATTAATTATATTTGCATAGTATGGCTAAAATGCAAATGCAACCTCAGTTCACAAAGGCTGAACTTGATGAACGCAAGTCTCTTTTCAGCTATGTAACTATGTAACAATATACAAGGTATTTAAAATTAAAATATCTAATTTCTGCTCTTATCTCTACGAGCTGATTTTGGTCCCTTTTTTACATTCTGTATGTTCTGGATAATTATGGAGATTTGGTCACATACATTTATTTACAAATATATCATAATCATTGTGTTGCAATTCCATCTACATATAGAAAAATAACAAAAAGAAAAAAACAGGATCAGATTCTAAAGTTGACATTTTTGCTGCCAACTGTTGCTCTACGACCCGTTTCAGCAAGAAGTGGAAATAGACATGCAACGAGATATTTCCCTGGAGAGTACACGTGCTGTGCTGTGCCTGAGGTCATGTTCTGTGTAAGCAATACCAGCCTATTGGCAAGAACGCACTGTGCAGATGTACTGCAGAAATAAGGAATAAAGAACAACTTAAAGGTGTATATTAAGTAAAGTTTAATTCCATTTTTAAAGTGAAGTATCTTAAATACACTAAATGGACATGTTATTAGGTACACCTGACCAGTGCGGAGGTCATTAATGCCTGCAGAACAACCTAAATTCTTCTTCATTAATTCTTAAATTTTTCTATATACGTTTACATGTTTCAGCAATACATTTACACATAAAACTCTTGTTCTACTTCTTACATCTTTTGGATAGCGACCGGAGAACTATGCAGGCCAGTAGAGTAAAGTGAAATCATGTCTTGTGAATGGAAACAGCTTGAAATTGAGGATTTGTGACATAGGACATTATCTTTTTGGAACTAAAAGTTTAAAATGGGTATACTGTTGTCATAAAGTGGGGTAATAGGTCTGCAAGAATGCCCACAATGTGACATTTAAATAATGTTCATTTATTAATAGGGGTTTTAAGTTGTGCTGAGAAAACATTCACTGTACCATTATACGACTACAATCAGCCTGTATCATTGACATCATGTAGGGCAACTCTATGGAGACAAGTGATTTAAGCCATATTCTGACCCTACTATATGCTGGTTGCAGAAGAAATACAAATTACATTGATTGGTGAAAACATTCATCTAGTGTTCGTGATCATTTTGCCACTGGATTGTTAGTTGACGTAAGTTTACTCAGCATTGTCTGTTCCTACTATACCCATCTACTTCAAATTTGAATGCTCTGTGTATTCTGACATACTCTTCTGGGTATCATTGTTGGAAACATTGGTTATTTGATTATTTGTATCCTCTTTGTCTATTTAAACGAGCATGGTTATTCCTCTCCAATGTTTGTTTATGATGTCTGCACAAGGAAGAAACTTATTAGGTATCAGAATGCAATGGCCACCATTCAACCATCTCCAGCCTGCATTGACCCATCATATTACTGTACACTATCTGAACTGGAGCAGACACTTAGGTGAAAGCGTGTTATTTGCCAGACTCCCTTCGGGACGGTGGATAATTGAATGTCTGGCACAAAATGTCAGACATGGAATGCATAGTAGTGTTGGCAATGCTCATACAACTCAAGGAAGGTTAATGGGAATTATATTTTTCTACAAAGTATATACTATACCGCAGCACCCAAAAGTAATAAAGTGGAGGAGGATCTCAATTTACATTGATTGAGCAAGGAAAGGGTGACATCTTTAAATTGTGTTTGCTCTGCTGGCCATTTTCACTATATATTAATATTGGATTTTGAGGATTTAATATATAGCGCTTGGTGTCCATGTTTAAAATGGAATGAGGCAAAAATGTGATTCTTTGTTAAACTCATTTGCATATGCCCACCCAGAATCCTTTACGGTAGTAACATCCCTGCAGAGTTGTGATTTCTGTGGGAAAAGCAAGTCTTATGGCTTCACTGGTGTGCAGATTTTTGTTTACCTTGTAATAACTATATATATATATATATCCTTCCAAACTGCTTCTAGAGTTTCTTCTAGATTCTCTACAACTGACAGCTGGCACTCATAATCATTTGTCACATATAGCTCACCTAGCTCTATTTCCACTCACCTTTCAAAATGTGGACAAGTGGACATTCTGAGACTTGTGTAGATGACACTAGATAAATAATTTCTAGTTAGTGGTTAGTTGCTTAGTCGACTGGCTCAGTGATTCATCAAGCACTTAGTTTTCCCTGTGGAGTCTCCATCTAAACATGACCTGTTTGTCTAGTATTTTATGCCTCTTGTAATTTTTTTCACCTTGCCTTCAGTTCTGTTGGAAGTTGGAGTGATGTGTTGTATGTGACAATAAAAACAAATCCACCCTACAGTTAGGAACACCTACTCTTGTTA